TTTTTTGACATTAATTATTATTAAAAAGAGTAAAGATTGACTTTTATTTATGTTATGGTTTTGGTTTTTAATTTTTGTTTTTGTATATTTAGTAACTTAATATTATCATTTTAAAAAATGGCGCAAAAACCCTCTATATATTATTAAGCTTTTGAATTATACCACTTCTATAAATTTCCTCACTTAATTTTAAGATTATTTTATAAGAAATCATTATTATTTTTGTTGTGCATTTGAAGCAATATCTGATTAATCTTCAAATGAATTAGCTAATAAGGTCTTCAGTTTCCAGAAATCCTATTGATTTAGGGATAACCTTTACCTTCATTTTTTTTCCTTAAAATGTACATGTTATTAGTGGATAAATTTAATATTATGAGTCTTTGTTAAAATAAAAAATATCAATTATTAATTAACATATAAAATTGTGAGCAAAAATTATACCTAAAATTTATTAGTGTATCATTTTCCCTTCTTGAAAGGTTTTTTTTTTTTTCTTCTTTAACTATTATAATTAAAGCATGAAAAATGAAATTACCAAAACTTAAATTTTAAATTTTTAAATATTATTATACTTTTTTTTAAAAAAAAATTCTAACTTGTACCCTAAAGATGTAAGTTAAGAACATAATTATTACACATTTTTCTCATTAATTACTATTGAAAAAATAAAAATTAATTTTTATTTAAGTAACTGTTTAATTAAAATAGTTTACGTGACAATACTAATGATAAAATTAATAATAATTTTTACATTTTTTAAGAAAAATTAACGTAAAAAAAATATAATAATTATATTTTTAACATATATCTTTAAATCATAAGTTAGACAAACTCTTAAAAAAATTATCACCATCGAACCACAAATAATAGTTAACCCTTAGCCTTCCGTCTTCCGTTATGAGGTCTAATATTAATTTTCCTATCGTCTCCAAAATCCGACCTTACGTAACGTCGTAAGTTAGCATCATCTACAAAAGGAAATCCAACTCAATATGAATGTGATTTATAACATTGTCTATGGACTTGCATCCAATATACCATCTGTGTCCAAAATTCAACCCTAATGTGGCAACCTTTCAACCATTTCCGGATGGAACTCTAATACAGAACAGAAATGTCGGTTTATCAAGGATTCATTTAAAATTTCACATACATGTCTCTAAAGAGTAATGATAGATCTGGAAGAATATTTAATATCAATAACATAGTATATATTATGTCATTAAATGAGTTAACACATGTAATATTATAAGTTTTTAAAAAATTAAAAAATTAATCATTAAATAAGTCCTAAATTTTGATCTTAAAATTTTCATTTCATTTATTTTTATACATCTCCACAATACATTCATCAGGTCATTTTGGATAATTATGACAAATTAATACTACGGCCTTCATTAGGTGTCATTTTTTTTTATTAATCTCTGCATCTAAAAACCATATTAAACCCTAATTAATTTGAAATCAAACAAAGTCGGATTTTATAAAAGAAAAATTCTTCCAACACTTATTTTTTATTTCTAAAATTCAAATTTGAGATTTTATTTTAAAAAAAAAACTCATGAACTCATCCTACTTAAACTAAGAGGATGTTGGACTCCATTAGGATCATGGTTTTTCAATAAGTTTGCCTGTTTTATTTGCTATATAAATTAATTATAAAATATATAATTATTACATATTTAAGGCATAGATTAAAAAAATTGAATCTTTTATGTGAAGCAAAACACTATTTTTCCAATCTCTATTACTAGGATTTAAGTTAAATGTGTAATTATTATAATTTTTTAATATTA